AATTCATCCTTGAACTTCAGAAAGTACCAAAAACATCCTTCAACTTCAATTTTCAATTAATAAAATTATTTCCTAATTCATGGAAGAATTAATTAAATTTTATTTAATTTTATTAAATAGTAGGTGGGACTAATTAAATGGGAAAATATATTAATTGTTTTAATTTTTAAATATAAATAAAGTAAAATTAAGAATTAAAGTAGCTTGTAAATTATTTAAAATTAAAAAAATCCACATAATCATCTTTTACATGATGGATTTCCACCTAATATTGAAAATGTAAAATAGTCAATCACTTAGCGAAAAATTTAGCTACATCAACATTTAATTGACAGAAAGACAAAATTGAAGATTGAAGTTGAATGACGTTTTTGGTACTTTCTGAAGTTTAAGGATGAATTGGTTCAAAAATAAAAGTTGAGGGACCAATTTAGATATTTAACCTAAAAAAATATGTTAGCCACGTCAGCATCACTATTTAATTAATCCTTAAATAGAAAAGTTGAAAGTTGACATCCTTAAATAGAAAATGTTGAAAGTTGACATCCTTATTTAGAAATTGGCAAAGTTAACATCCTTATTTAGAAAAAATTGAAAGTTAACATCTTTATTTAGAAAAAAATTGAAAGTTGACATCCTTATTTAGAAACTGATAAAGTTAACATTCTTAAATAGAAAAAAGTGCAAAGTTGGAATCCTTATTTGTACCTTTACTCCTATGAAGTGTAAGAAAAAAACTCTTGTAATCTCTTTCACATTCTAGTTTTTATGGTAATGTCCTCCACACTCATAGATAATTATTTGACAATATTATTACTAAATAGATAAGATATATTTTTTTAATAAAAAATTAGAGTGCAAAACTAAAATTAATTATAACTTTTAAAAATAAATCAAGAACCATACATGGTTGGATTATCATGTTAAAACACTAGAAGAATTATAGCGTAGAAAATGTAAATTCTATTATCACATGAGATAAAAAACCAAAAATCATATTAACCCCTTAAATACTAATCCTCCTAAAGCATTAAACCAAAGGATTTTGGATAACATAATTTTAAAATATTTTTTGAAAGTTTTTAATAATCATCTTTGTGAAGAGGAAATCTTCTTCATAATAGTCTAATTTTTCCAAATAAGCTTGATATTACAAATTATCATATCCTTCACCAAGCCATACTTCATATGCTTGAAGGAAAAAAATTAATTATAAATATTAAAAAGTTTGTAGGAAAATTAAAATCAATGTTATTGATACTATACTATACCAGTTGGTATATACCAGTTTAATGTATCGATTTTTTCATTAAACTGAAACAATACAAGATTCAATTTCATTTCGGTTAAATTTTATCCATTTCGATGAAATTTTGGTGTATTGACCAGTATTTCGGCGTAACGATCGGCACAGTTAAAATTGGTCCGTAAAAATCAATTCAATTTAAAAAAGGTAAATTTCATTTTTGGTCCTCAACTTTAATGTTTTGCATAACTTTCATCTTTTAACTTTTTTATCTACTTTTTAGTCTATTAACTATGATAAATGTATTTTTTTAGTCTTTCTATTAGTTACTTTGTTGAATTTGCCTAAATATACATATTTTTAGTTCTTTAACTTAAAGTGGAGAGACGAAAAATATATATATTAAAAATTAAGAGACTAGAAATGTGTATTTTTATCCCTTTTTGATAATTTCAAATTTAAAGTTTTAGTTCTCAGTACTCACCGATTGCTGCTCTCTCTTCTCAATAATGTTTTAGTTTATATTTTGCATTCTTGTTATATTTAAAAGAAATGATTTCTTCTCTTATGGAAGTATTTTATATTGCGAATTGTATAATATTAAACTCAAAATACTATTATACTTTCTAATATTATCTTAATGTTCAAAAAAAAAATTATAGATGTTTTATAAAGTTGACAATTTTAAACTTGTTTTCAATTTATAAAAATATATATTTATAACAATAAATCCAAAACGATATATGAAAAATTTTGATATCTGATATGTACTGTTCCAATAATAAATTCGGTATGAATATAAGTACGGTATTGACAACTTTGATTAAAATAGCCAAATGCAAAAAAGTTGAAATATTAGCTATGCTCATCATCCCAATGCTCATCATCCCAATGTGCAGAAATTCTAGCAAAACTCCTTCTGAAATTGAAAGGAGAAAAATGAGGCAAAAACACATTAACATATAATGGGTACAAAACCCAAAAAAAAAAAAAAAGAAGAAGCCAAGAGGCAACTTGCTGTAAAATTCAAATACAATTATAAAAAAATGTTCATTAATACTTGACAAACAACAATGGGAAGTCATGTTGAGAAGTGCTAAACATAGAAGCAGTATCTATGTTTCGACTTATTTCAATCCCTCAAAAATATTATAGCTCCTATGACCCTAGACAATAAAAAGCAAGGAAACGGAATCATGTGAATATCTTTTCTCTAGAAAGCAAAAAATGCAAAGACCAACCCGCAGATGTTATTGAAGCGAAACAAAACTTCAAAATTCAAAGGTCTTAGACTTTTTAGAGGCAGGACTAGAATACACCCTTCTGACCTTTGCAAGGAAGCCATACTGACCAAGCATGCGAGTACTGACAATATCCAACATTGTAACATTCCTTTTCAAAACAATGCTAGTAAGCAATGACTGTCATGAGGAAAAGAACAATTAATGTAGAGTGGATTCCTCTACATTGCATTATGCAAACAATCAGCTATTACAAACCTTACTCATATCTCTATCTCTTGTGATAAGAGTTCCTGGTGCAGTAGGGTTGTAAGAATTCTTAACCTTGACAGGAATATCACCCCCCTAGCTGGTCTCATGGATAGTGGATGCAGGACCTGTAGAAGAGCAATATCAAATTCAACTTCAGTTATTTTGCCAGGCTTAAACAATTACGTCACAGTAGGCCAAATGCACCCTAGTCAAGTTTGGGCCAAAAGAAAAAGGGTTTCTTCCAGGAAGACAAATAGAAGGTAGGAAGAGGAATGCGGGAGGGAGATGCCCAGAATCCAAAAAATACAAGCCAAAGGGAATAATAGGTGGCTTTGTAAATGAAAGGAAAAAAACAAATGCACCATTGATAATTTGATACCTTAGCACCACAGTAAGCAAGTTCAACTGCCTCTCCAAATGTCAAATAGGGGACAGGTTCTGCATGTGGGTTTATATTAGGATCACAGGTCAAGACACTGTCAACATCCTTCCATACCTATAAGAAAACCATAATTGCGGTGAAAAAAGGTAGTTATCCTACAATCAAATTTGTCCAGAGAATCTCAACTCAATAGGACATCATTGTTCCACAAACTTCAAAATAGATTAACTTGTAAATATTTATATGCTTATTGTGCATCCGAATAAAGGGATACACATTTAAACATGAAAAAAGGGT